AGGTAAGACTAACTGGCCTATAGTTTCCCGGGTCTTCCTTCCTCCCTTTTTTAAAGATGGGAACCACATTGGCCCTCTTCCTTAACTCAACTTAATTGAGGTTTCTGACAACTCCCTCTTTGCAGATTCACTATGGCCACATTTTTGCCCATAAAGTACATTTGTACTATTTGCTTCTGTTTTTCATTTTGGACCTGTGTAGCAGCATTTAAGAACAGACTTTTTGTTAAATACATTTTAAAGATCATTGTCAGTCAAATGAAGTTGGTTTGTCTCTTTTTCATAGCCTACAGCATACGTTACCTCACCCTCTGTTCAGATCAGTGTTTCTCCATGGCAGACACTACAAGAGGTAGGTATCAATATTTTTCCCATAAAAATACATTTTGCATGCATATCAGTAAGGGAAGGGCTGGTGGAAATTCACTTAAATTCAGAGGTAGTCTCCCCATCCACAGTTCTAGTAGTAGAGCAAACCTGAGTGGCCTGAGCAGAGCTAGAACAACAGTCATGAACTTCATAAGAGCAGTTTCAGCTACGCTACTTAATGTAGCATAGCATCCCACAATACCTTTCAGTAATTTAACCCTTATCAGTAAGGCAGGAGCTCCAGAAAATGTTTAGAATAACAAAAGGCCTTGCCTGCACACTTAACTTTGTCTTTTTATTCCATACATGAGCATATGTAGCACAGTCTGCCTTCAACATTGCTCAATGAATGAACAATAGATACTTAATTAAATAGATATTACAAATGGTAAATGACACCACTGTAAGTGAAGTATATTCAGTGGCCTAAATTATTATTTGTATTATTTATTTGTATTATAATAGCCCATAAAGGTTCAAACCAAATTTGGACCTCTTGGGTGCCTGTACAAGAGCATGGAGGCTGCTCCAATATGCTGTAATTACTTGATTAATCTGTGGTTTAGTTTCAATTAATTGATCATGGTAATTACTGCACTGCAGCCAGTCTCTGAGTCTCGTGCATCAGTGTCCCTATGCTTCAAAATGGTGTCAAGGGCACTTGAACTAAAGCTCATCAAACAAACTTTAGTTCAAGCTCCCCTGCTGCCATTTTGAAGTGCAGGGATGCTGATACATAAGACACTACAGTGCTTTAATTAAAGTGCAGGTGGCACATGCAAAGAGCACGTATAAAAGTGTCCCTTTATAATAGGTACTATACCAGCACATAGTACTGTTTACAGTCTACGGAGAAAACATCAGACAAAGGCTTGGAACAGACATACAGAGGATATATAACTTATCACAGGATCATAAAAATTAAGGGCTAGAAGGGACCTCAAAAGATCATCAAGTCCAACCCCCCTACTCTGGGGAGGAATACTGCTGAGATCAAATGATAACAGTAAGACGTCTGTCCAGTCTTCTCTTGAAGACTTCAAGGTTGGAGACTTCACCACCTCCTTGGGAAGTCTATTCCAGGTTCTGGTCACCCTTACTGCAATGAAGTTCTTCCTTACATAGAACCTGAAACCATCCTCTAACAGTTTATGGCCAGTGTTCCTTGCCCTCCCCTGGGGTGCACTAGTGAATAGTTTTTTTCCCAGCTGCCGATATTCACCCATTACATACTTATAGATGGCCATCAAGTCCCCCCTCAGTCTTCTCTTCCCCAGGCTGAACAGTCCCAGAATCTTTAGTCGTACCTCATAAGGTTTGTCCTCCAGGGCCTTAATCCTTCTTGTGGTCCTTCTCTGGACCATTTCAAGATTCTCCACATCTTTTTTGAAGTGCAGTGCCCAGAACTGGACACAGTACTCCAGCTGGGGTCTCACTAATACTGATTAGAGAAGAAGTATCACTTCCTTAGCCCTGCTCACGGCACATCAGCTAATGCATCCCAGTATGTTATAAGCTCTGTTGACTGCAGCGTCACACTGTGCATCATCCTGTGATCAACCATAACCCTGAGGTTCCTTTCAGCCATCGTGCTGGCCAGGACATCTCCTAACCTATATTCATGTCTCTGGTTACTTCTCCTCAGATAAAACACTCTGCTTTTCTCCTTATTGAACTGCATCTGATTCTGCTCCAGCCACCTTTCCAGCTTGTCTAGGTCTGCTTGGATCTGCATTTTATCCCCTAGTGTGACCACTTTTCCCCATAACTTAGTATCATCTGCATTGTGCTTTTCACATCCTCACTTGACCAAAGCCATGTAGTAATTCATGATTCCAGAGAAGCCATGCCAGTTTACCTAAACTTGAAATCTAATCCAAGATGTTTACAGATTACCAATATGTAGTTTAGTTTGGACATTTGAATGGTCTCTTGGACAGGTTTTGTTGTATGTTATTTAAAATCAGAAATTCCACTGCCATTCTTGCACTTATTTATTGTGCTACTTGTTTTTAAAATAATGTTTTTATGCTTTTCTTCTAGAATTCTTCCAACAAAGACCAACATGTGCCTTCCTTTGCAAATCCTCTCTACGGCAAAGCAATAGGAAAAATGGAGAACTTACACAATTCCTTGAAATAGGGATTGAAATAATACACAACTTTCCTCTTGGCTGAAGATTTTTTCTTTCCCTGAAATCTAGTGGAAAGTTTGTTATGATATTTTAGCATTAGTAATTTGAATGAAAGTAGAATAATTCTTCTATTAGAATAATTATACTCCAAATATAACACTACATTGAAAATAGCATCCATGCATATGTAAAAGTATAGTCCTATGTAATATTTCTATTGGCACAAAAATAGACTAGTTACTGGAACTATGAATTCATTGCACATTTTGAGCAGTTCAGATGCAGTGTATGAATAAAAAGGAAGTTTCACTTAATCAGAACCAGATTCTTAGGGTTTGGGGGTTCTAATTTTACTGCTATTATTGAGAAATCATGACTCAAATATTTTTATAATTCTGAATCATTACAAGACTATAAATGGTTATTTTTGTAATGGTAATGGTTTATTTTGAAAGAACAAAAGTGAAAAGATATTTGTTGTAGAATCTAAACAAGAACAACAGGCTAGATCAGGGTATGATAGACTTGATCTTGGACCTGAACACCAATTCTGCATGTAAGTCAGATGTATGACATGCTATGCTATACACTTCAAATCCCTTTCTGGCCAGCTCCACAGCACTCTGCTACAGGTTTGGTGGTTGATAGGGGGTAGGAAAGGGTACGTATCAGAAGGCGACACTTTTCTGAATAGTTTGGCCTCCCATACAACCCAGAACTGCAGCTCCCAGTTATCATGTCTTTGAATGATGAAAAGGAATTTGGGAGGACACCACTGGGTTGCATCCTAAATTTGAGTGTCATCATCTGTGATGTGAGAAATAGATGCAAGTTCACACTCAAGCAACCGTGCCAATATATGTTCCTCCATAACGCCTGTTAGATTTAAGCAGCTGACCTTTTTATTTTATTCTCTTATGGAATGACCTACAGTCATGGAAAAAGGCTCTTTCTTTAGATTTTTTACCATAAAATACTGTAGTCTTCTAGGGGGAAAATGTTTCTCATCTCACTGATATAACAAATATGGAGGTAGATACAAAATTCATTTACCGTACTACACTTGCAAGCATTGTCAATCAGGCTTGATTCTCCAAGTTGGCAAGTACCTTCAGATCCTGAGTTCAATAGCATTTCAATTAGATCAGCATGAGTGAGTTGCCTTAAGCATTGTCAACAGGTTCTTGGACTCCCACATGATCAAGTCTTATTAGTTGACTTCTCTGCAGTAGCTTGACTTTGCTTTCAAACCTGCATCAGTGCTGTGAAACCCTGGAATGCTGTGTGTTGTAGCCCTTACACATTGTGTTATATTTTAGTGTGCTGTAAAGAATGATAATGAAAGCAAACACAATTAAAAAATACCTAAATTTGATAGTAGTATTTTACCCAGAGTCCCCTTAATGATCAAAATCAATTCATTTTACTACTGTATTGAACTCTGGAAACTGCACAGGAGACAAAAGGAGGGTTCTCAAATTTATATAGGGGATTCTGGAGGGATAGGGTCACAGGCCAATGATCTAGGAGACTGGGAAAAATATGGGTAAACAAACATTAAGGTACATACAGTTAGAATATATATAACAGACAGTAACAATGACTCAATGATACAACCCTTCGGGGGCAAATAGCAAGATAAGAAATAAGGAATACAGGTTTCCCTTGCTTTATGCTGAACGTGTGTTCTTGGAAAACAGTGCATAACTCAAATTTGCATAATGGGAACCCATTTTACAATGTAACTAGTAGGGATATGTTCCAAGACCTGAACTGTACTGACCCCTAGACCCATTTCTACCACTTCAAAAGGACAATTTTGGTACTCACCAACAGCAGACAGTGCACACAAACACAGGGTGGTGAATGTTTAGCTGGTGTGAAAAGAGGGTGGTGAAGGCTTTATTGATGGACCAGGGAAAGGGGTAGGAGATAAGCCAGTAGGACACTTTGAAGCTATAATGGGGATGGCAACTACAGAAACATTTGTCGCAGACAACGCGTGAGGAGCACAGGAGACTATATTTTGCTGTGCGTCACTCCCACAATGCACCACACAAAGCAGCTGACTGTGGGCTTCCACCACACCGATTGCATAAGAGTGAATTTACCTCACATATAATGAATTTTCGGTATAAAAAGGGTCATCGCATAAAAGCAAATTTGCACATACATAACCTGCATAAAGCAAGGGAAACTTGTATTAACACTGTGATGCAATACACTGAAGAAACCTTAAGCCCCTCCTTAACTCCAGGGGAGCTTTCAAACCAGTCATTAGTCTTAAAGAACATTCAATTAATATGTACCTGAGCTCCCCCTCTGAGCCCGTCCAAGCCCTGCTGCAGCTTCTGGGTCTCAGCATGCATCTCACTGACTGCTGCTTTTCTCCCTTTCTCTCTCTCTCCCTCTCTCTCCACTGAGCCATTTCTTTCTGTGCAATCCTGGCTCCCCTTCTACTTCCTTCCTCTTTCCCCAGAAGCCTGCTGGAACTGTTGTTCCTGCCATGAGGTTACAGTCCATTATACTACTAAGTTAATGTGCTTAATAAAGGCTTAGCACATATAATGGAGAAACTTAGTGAAATCCCAAATACTGTATATCTTAGCAATATCCATTTTCTGTCCCATAAAATGAGATCTGTCAGTCTTCAGGGTTATTTCTACAGCAAGGTGAGACTTACCTAAATCATCTTCAGATTTTGCATTTAGAAAGTACTTTAAAAGAAAGTGTAAAAATCAGACTTTTCCCCTTTCATCTTCTGACCTTCAGTCATAACACTTATTGCACCAAAAACAAAAGATTCATTTATGTCTCCTAAATGGTAACTACCTTGTGCTTGACAGCTGAATAAGCAGCAGGCTCACACTACTGGATTCAAGATACTGTTGTTTCCATCTGTTTCACTGGAACTTCGCAGTAAGTTGCCTACATGCAGTCTTTCTTACTTGAACTAAACAGGGAAAATTCACATTTTCATGGTTACAACTTTGTTTTAAAAATCTAAAACAAATTCTGGAAATAAAATACATTTTCTTAAATCTTTATGGTAGTTTTCTCCTCTGCCTAACCACACACCTTGACTAAAGAGTCTGTATGTTTAGATTCATACTGTCACAGCCTTTAAGCATTCAAAATTATTTGGTTCCAAGAAAAGCTATTCAGTAGGAGGAAGTTAGTTGATACAGCCTCAGGATACAGTATTTTAGCCAATGTTTTACATGATTGAATGAGAATAGCAGACAACAGAAATAAAGTCCTGTACTAGTCAGCAGATAGACTGATAGTCTCTACTTTTCTTATAATTGTTCCAAGTATTCTGTGGCTGCCAAAGCTCAAAGCCGTAAAGCCACACCACCCCTATCATATGGTCTTGGCTACATTGTACCACAAAAGAAAACCCAATTCAACCCTTATATCAACATCCCTGCCTCAAACACACAAGGCCAGGTTCTGATTTCAAGTGAGTGCTGGTGATATTCCACAGTAATGCCAGTAAATTAAATCAAATACTTCATTTACATTGTAATAAGGAGGACCAGACTCATACTCAAGAAGTCAAACTGCCTGCTTTTAGCAGCCATCAAAGTCAGAGGCATCTCTTGTCCTCACCAATTCAATACTGAGGCAGAAGTATTAATAGGTCCTATGGGTCCTCATTCCATGTGCTTATTTCCGTGAAGTCATTATTTTCATACGTTTATCACATTTAGTATGTTAACCCCTCAGCACAGAGCTTTCCTTGGGCTATTGTCACTAGATTCTCTCAAACCCTGGTCAGTGTATATATAAAACATGGGATTACAGCTCAAGATACACAAAACGGCACCTTTCTGTTAGAAAATGTGAAGGGAAGAAGCATACTAATAAATCAACAAAGATGGGGATTCATGAATGTACACATAAATATAGACACACAAGCACCTTTCTCTGTGCAGCTAAAGTACCTGTGAAAATGGGGATGAGGAAATCAAATACATGGAGAGGAACTTCTGTGCTCAGACCCTTGCAGCCATTGACCCATTTGTTTTCTAAATCACTGGCATGGTTTTTAAATCCAGTTGACAAGGTGCTTTTAATTGAGTAATATACAGGGGAGTGATGAAGTATAACATGCAGCAAAGCACAGCCATGTTGGGCATGAGGTGGAGGGTGGTAACACCATGACATACCACTCCCACCCTCACAGGTGCTGCCTAGCCACTAACAAGTGTGTTTGAAACCATGTACAGATGGGTGGAAAGATAGCTAAAATGTAGACTAGCTACCCAATGTGCTAGGTTCCCATGGCAGCCCACCATCGCTCAAATGAAAAATTGCCACTTGAGTTAATGCTGTTTGCATGGATTTTAATTCACCATCTGGAGCTTTAAATTATCCTCAAAGGCCATAACTTTATTAGGAAAAGTAGGTGAATTTTCACAATAAGATAACCTAATTGTGACAGCTAACACTTTTTAAAGTTTTAATGTATGTAGAGCAAGGTCTGTTTATATCATGATGAAGCTGTTCAAGTTGAATTCCCTTTGGAAATACATAAGGATAAAACTACAATCTGCTCTGTCTTCCTTGGAATTTCTCTACAGCATTTTGGCTATCTCTTTGTGAAAACACACCCTTTCTTCTTCTCAAGTAGATGTGTCAAAGAGGGGGGAGGTGATATGTAGCCTCAGTCAGGACTCCAACAACAGCATAGCACTTGAGCTAGCTATTCCAGTGGAGAGAGTGGAGATATTGAAAATGTGCCAAAGGGCAGTGGTAAGCGTGGATGGCCCATGATCTCTGGGGAGAGGTCCAGGATTTCTTTCAGATCCTTAGACCCTCCACAGCTGGCAAGCTAACATTTGTGTACCTCCCACTACTGGGTCCTGCCCATGGAAAGGGCTGATGCATCAAATTCTGCATTCTCATAACCTAGCAGATTTTTTAAATTTAATTTTCTTTCCTATCTCACCAATTTTTCAAAGAAAAAGCTAATGCAGCCCTGTATTTGCCAGTGAGGCTATGTCTAAACTGGTATTCAGGCTTATCTTCAACTTCATGCAAGCTGACCATCTACAGTAAAACTCCTCAGCTTAACCCCCAGAAGCAGTCCAGTCTGGTCTTGGAAGGTTCCCTCAATCAGGGATGTGCATTCCCTAGGGAAAAGCAGCAAATATGGGGCTCTTTAGCCTGAAAAAGCGCAGGCTCAGGGGTGACCTGATGGCCACCTATAAGTTTATCGGGGTGACCACCAGGATCTGGGGGAACGTTTGTTCACCAGAGCGCCCCAAGGGATGACAAGGTCAAACGGTCATAAACTCCTGCAAGACCATTTCAGGCTGGACATAAGGAAGAATTTCTTTACTGTCTGAGCCCCCAAGTTCTGGAACAGCCTGCCATTGGAGGTTGTTCAAGCACCTACATTGAACACCTTCAAGAGCAAATTAGATGCTTATCTTGCTGGGATCCTGTGACCCCAGCTGACTTCCTGCCCTTTGGGTGGGGGGCTGGACTCGATCTTCCAAGGTCCCTACCAGCCCTAATGTCTATGAAATCTATGAAATATGTGCCACTGCTAGCTGTCCCTGGGGCATGTCCCTGCATGTGCATTCTAGTGCATGGCAAGTTGCCCAGGGTGGGGTAGTGGGGACTGGGGCCAGCACCTCGGCTGGCCCCTGCAGCCTTACCTGGGGTCCTAGGGGCCTTCCAGGGCTTGTCCAATGGCAATACAGGTGTGCAAAGCCTGGCCAGCAGACGGAGCGTGACTGGCCAGCCAGGCTCCAGTTTTGGGCGCTGAATGCTGCCACCACATGCATCACCCTGGATCTCCCAGGGTCAAAAAAGCCCACTGTGTTACAAGTTAGCAGCGCAGTGAACACCTACATGTGCGGTGTGTGTAGTTTGCAGTGCCGCAGGTGGGTCTACTGTGCCACAGACCACATGTACATGCTCGTCAGCCTCTGGGCGGAAGGTCTGATCTTTCCTTGTAGTGTATTAAGAACAACTCAGCTGGATGCTGCAAACACAGACAGTCCACCAGAAACAGCAATCTCACAATCTCCTGACTGCCAGCCCTTCTGCACCCCACTTTCTGTTTCTACTGCCTGTTACTAGGGTGAGTACCTTGAGCAGCACCCTTCTAGGATTCAGTCTGCCCATTACTTTTCCCTCCTTTGCTGCTTTGTCTGCAGTCCTCACAAGGTAAGATCTAAGTAGGTACGCTGCCTCATGTCATTTGAGCTACTTAGTACTAAACAGAGGTTTAGACCTACTCCAAAGACTGTCCACATTTCCACAATGGTGCATCCATGGAAGAGAGTTGCCTTGAAGTACATTTAGCCCATTTGTTTCCATGCCAAGTGTCCCAAATGCCAGAGTAGCCGTGAATGCACTCTAAAGAGCATGCCGACACGGAAAGAACCTGAAAACGGTGCTACAGGGTATTCTAAGCTGGCTACATTGCTTTATTTCCATTATTTAGGGCATGTAAATGGGAAAAAATATATGGGATGTACTTCTCAGTGGCACACCTGCCCTCAGCACAGATACAATGTAGGCAAACGTTGAGCATCATTTTCTGATTTTTGGAGACGGAGTAAAATTTAGTCAAACCCAAACACACTGCAGGGCAGGGTGGCACCTTAACGACTATACTAAGGAAATTGTTTAGATTGCAGGGCTAACAATGCCAAAGAAGTCTGGTCAGCTCAATAGAGAGATGGTTACTACTTTCCCAAACTGATTCTTTTGAGGTTAGTTAATGGTGCTTGGTATACAGGGTTAAATTTGCTTAAAAAGGAGAACTGAGCACAAATTATTCATGGGAATTCTTTAATCTTATGTTTAATTATATAATTATACCTGGAACAAAGACTTTGATTGATCATAACTGCAAGAAAAAGTTATTTTGCACTCAGCTGTGATTAGCATACAAATCATAGAAATGGTTTGATATAGAGATGGTTTGCAAAAAATGAGGAAAAATCATAGCATTTTGATATTTTCTGCACTTTGCAAATGTTTAGGATGGCAGACCTAAATAATTTTAAGAGTATTTTACAAGTGCTCTTTTTATCTTTATTTTTATTCAATTTTTATTTTATTCTCCATTTTAATCTCTACTTTTGAATCCTACTCCTTAGAATCACCATTTTTCCTTATTAGACAACTTACAGATCATAAAATAATTAGAAACTTTTATTGTGCATATGCTATGTGAATTTATAAAGCCTTAGTGATTATTATTATGGGTTTGCTACAAAAATATTCCAGTGCTGTGAACTGAATTGTAAAGTACAATTACCTTGAATTGTATTACATTAAGGACCTCAGCATTATCTGGTATTCAGAGAAATGACTTAACTAGAAATGGATATAAATACGCATTGCTTTCCAGTTGGTCTCTAGTGAAAACGTATTCACTGTGGTAAAAGTATTCACTGTGATTCATGTACAGTGTTGTCAGGGCATTAGTAATTATTTGCTACTTACTGTAAAAATGATCAGCATTCATCTTAACAACATGATTAATAATGTAATATATTAACTCAAGGAGGCGGGTAGTACTATCAGGGTTATACACCTCCCTCAGTCTGTGTATGGAACTCCCACCAAGTTCAAACAAGTCAAGAACATTAAGGAATAGAGCCCTGGGTGTATTATTATGAGAGAGAGAAAATCTAGGGGATAAAAATGATTACATCTTGTAATTTCCATGAGTCATAACCCCAAACAAAGCTATATGATTCTGCAGATAGTTACTTTCTTGAGAAACTTTAGTGTTGGTGGATGTCTTAGCAGAATCATAGAAAATTAGGGTTGGAAAGGACCTCAGGAGGTAATCTAGTCCAGCCTCCTGCTCAAGGTAGGACCATCCCCAACTAGATCAACCCAGCCAAAGCTTTGTCTAGTCAAATATTAAAAACCTCCAAGCATGGAGATTCCACCACCTCTCTGAGTAACCTAATCCAGTGTTTTACTACTCTCCTAGTGAGAAAATTATTCCTAATATCTAACCTAAACTTCCCTTGCTGCAACTTGAGACCATTGCTCCTTGTTCTGTCATCTGCCATCACTGAGAACAGTGTAGCTCCATCCTCTTTGGTACCATCTTTCAGGTAGTTAAAAGCTGCTATTGAGTCCCCTCCTAATCTCCTCTTCTCTAGACTAAACGAGCACAGTTCCGTCAGTCTTTCATAAGTCATGTACCCCAGCCCCCTCACCATTTTTGTTGCCTTCTGCTGGACTGTCTCCAATTTGTCCACATACTTTCTGTAGTGTGGGGCCCAAAACTGAACACAGTACTCCAGATGTGGCCTCACAAGTGCTGAAGAGAGGGGAATAATCACTTTCCTTGACCTGCTGGCAACACTCCTACTGATGCAGCCCAGTATGTTGTCAGCCTTCTTTGCAACAAGGGCACACTGTTGGCTCATATTAAACTTATCGTCCGCTGTAACCCCCAGGTCCTTTTCTGCAGAGTTGCTGCCCAGCCAGTCAGCCCCCAGTCTGTACTGATGCATAAGATTATTCTGTCCTAAGTTGAGGCCATTGCACTTGTCCTTGTTGAACCTCATGAGATTTCTTTTGGCCCAATCCTCCAATTTGTCTAAGTCCCTCTGAATCCTAACCCTACCCCCCCAGCATGTCTACTACTCCCCCCAGCTTGGTGTCATCTGCTTATTTCCTGAGGATGTACTCTCTGCCATCATCCAGGTTGTTGATGAAGACATTAAACAAAATTGACCCCAAGAGCAACCCCTGGGTCACTCCACTTGATACTGGCAGCTGACTAGACATTGAGCCAGAATGGAGCCCAACTCTTGATGAGCTTTTAGGCATGACTGTCAAAAACATGATTAATAATAATATGTAAACTGGTGATCAGAAGTTCTTATTGGCTACAGAACTTTATGAAATCAGTGGAGGGTGCAAGTACTTATCACCTTTGTGAACATCAGAATACTTTTATTTAAGTATCTAAATAAGGATTTAGGAGCCTAATAATAGGATTTCCCAAGTTGAACATTTTGACTTCTATACCAAGCACAGAATTATCTTGTCACATGTGTACAAGAGATTTTCACAGAAGAAGCCATTTTCAAACAATTCAACAGACTATGGCATGAGATCTACTAAATCCATCCTGTTGTAGACGTTCTAAACATTCATATGCTTCCTTATTTGTCTATGTTATACCATGTTACAAGACACACAGTCACTACAGGGTTGCTTTATGATGCCTTGGTTTAACCTAGCTGCAACGCCTCTAGTAAAGAATGAAGAGGTATGTGATTAGAGAAGAGAATCCTTTTCAGAATCATCCAACCTCTGCCTTGCCTATCACAAAAAACAATGGGAAAGGAAAATATAAGGCAAACGGTGTGGGGGGGTTTCTGTATGGTAGTTTTGGTTGGTTCTTTGTTCTTCAGTAATTTCTATTTACACTGATCGGCAGTAGATTTTTTTTTCTTTCTAGAGAAAATGAATTTAATGGCATGTATTTAAAATCGTAAATTAAGATACTGGTTTGAAATTGGCATTAACATTTTTCCTGGCAGTTACAATAAGTAGTAAATACTTTATTTGACACTAGAAATTAAAATTTAAAATGTTTTGCCTTAGATCTTCTCTTGTAGTTTACTTAAGTTGATGCATGTGATAGAAGTAACGAGCGAACAATAGACTACCTTTCCCCCTTGCTTTCTCCTGATAGTTATCCTTCCCACCCCAGTATAGTTTTTCAGAATCTAGGAATATTTTAATATGTGATAATGATCATTGATTACACACTCTGAGCTCAAAAGTATTTGTAAATATTACAAGATGAGATCTTAACAGGAACCTCTAACTTTGGTCTGTTATGACAATCCATTATCATCTTAGTACTACTCAGGGACCTCCTGTGATTGTGACACCCGGATCCAGCACTCCTAATCTGACTGGACCCAAAATGTTCTTATGTTCTTATACTAATAAAATCAAGCTCATGGTCACCCATACATTTAGGGCCTCTGCATAAGTCCATCTGACCTACCATTGTAGAATTATTAACACTGTTAAATAATATGGAGAGCAAAGGGAGGGAAAAGTGTCATGTGAGCTTTCAGGTATTTTTATTTTATTTTTTACAAAGGCCTCAGCAAAGCTAAGGGTGTCAGTCATGTTCAGGAAAATCTCAGATTTAATATTACATACCATGTTTTCAAACACTAAGTTTCAGTGAAAGAGACTGAAACCATGCTTGAATATTAGCAAAACTGCATAAACTACTGAATAATGGGACCAAGAATAAATCAGAAGAAAGTTAAAAATGAGTGACTTTGGAAATCCTGGTACAACAGTCATTTAAAGACTACAGCTGATGATAGAGTTCAACTTTCCATGCATGGCTGTTCCAGAAAGTTTTATGCATAGTTGGTGTTTAGTTGCCTCAGTGAAAACCCCTAAAACAGAATTTCAATTGGTTCTAAAATCTGGTAACTGATGTGAGGCAAGTGGGTGGGGGGAATAGTGAGGGGCGCTGGGAGTGGGGAAAGGGATGGGGTGAACAGCTGATGGGAGCAGGCACCAGGAGGGGAGGAACAGTGGGGGAGAAACTGGGCGACAAGTGGCAGGGGGCAGAAAGGGGGAAAGGGCAATGGAGAGCAAGGGGTGGGAGTCTAGCCACCATCCTCCCAATTGCTGCTTTCCTTGCTGAAGAGGTGGGGGAGGATACATTTATAACAACCTTCTGATAATTAGATTCTATACATGGAAAATTATAAAAACGTATACTTTTCCATGTACAGAATCTAATTCCTGGGTGGTTGTCTTAAATTCAAAGTCATTTTCATTTTGGGGTAGATATGGTACTTGAACCTCGTGCAAACAGGAGACAAAATCTTGTTTAAAAAGTGTCGGAGTGAGGGATAGTTCTTCACCATAAACGGGAAGGTATATTATTTATTTCACTGTTGGATGGAGTCAGGTTTCTGAAGAGAAATATCCTAGTTCACATTGGAAAGAATGTCAGGTTGCCTTTGATTTTGTTGCTTTTCCAAATTTGCAAGTGCATGTGCCACTTGAGTGCCCTAACGCACATGCCTTTTGCCACTGTAAATAATTTTAAGTAACAATTTGGGGATGCAGTGGGAGAGTTTGAGTTCTGGTCCTTTGAAAATTGAACAAGTTAAATTACAGCTTAGGTTATTTTTTCTCATTTTAAAAATATTTCAGGAACACTTAATCTGTGTGGAGATATATTGTCCCTAGTGCTAGCAAGGTTAAAGAGACCTACATTTATAAGCCACGTAAAAGTCTGTCATGCAAGTTAAATCTTCCTAGTGGCAGTTTTAACTAATCAAGCTGCATTTCTTAAGAAGCATTTGAGGGAAGAGCAATATAACCTGTTCATCTAGGACAAGTTGTCTTCCTCCAAACCTTTCCCCTGAATTTGTTACTACATGCCAAATTCTCAGATGGAATGGTATGTTAATTGTGAATGAGTTTTTATATTTTTGATGTTTTTAAAGTATTAAATAACTCAAATCTGCAATGTACCACAAAAGTTCATTACACTGTTTTCCATTTGCATCATGTTAAAAAAAATACTCTCTGTAAAACCTAATCAGATTCATAACATCAAGATGAGAGGATATTTGAGAACTCATGGTGCTCAGGCAAGGTGCCTGATAATTGGAAGAGGGCCAATGTGGTGCCTATCTTCAAGAAAGGGAGAAGGGAACTACAAACCAATTAGCTTGACCTCAATCCCTGGAAAGATCTTGGAAAAAAATTATCAAGGAAACCGTTACCAAGATCCTAACAAAAGATAATATTCTAAGAGATAGCCAACAGGACTTTGTGGTGAGTAGATCTTGTCTGACCAACCTGATTTCCTTCTAGGACCAGGTGATGCATCACCTGGACAAAGGAGAAGAGGTGGATATCATATTTTTGGACTTCATGAAAGCGTTTGACCTTGTGTCCTATGATGACCTCATGGAAAAATTGAGGAATTGTGGCCTAAACAATGTCACAGTCCAATGGCTGGGGAACTGGCTCTGTGGACAGACCCAGAGAGTGATAGTTGATGGAACTGAATCAACTTAGCACACTGCAATTCAGAAAGGTTGCGGAGAAGTTTGAGAGAGTCCAGAGGAGAGCCACACAAATTATTAGAGGACAAGAGAGCAGGCCTTATGAGGAGAGGCTGAGAGACATGGGACTCTTCAGCCTGGAAAAGGTCAGGTTCAGAGGTGACTTGGTAGCAGCCTATAAGTATATAACGGGTGTGCACTGGGAACTGGGAGAATGTCTGTTCTCCAGGGCACCCCATGGGAAGACTAAATCCAATGGTCACAGACTTTTGGAAGACCATTTTAGTCTGGACATAAGGAAAAACTTCTTTACTGTCCAAGTCCCCAGGGCCTGGAATAGACTCCCCCCCAGCAGTGGTGCAGGCATCTACTCTGGATTCCTTTAAGAAACACTTGGATGCCTATCTTTCTGGGATCATTTGACCCCTGCTGACTGCCTTCCCTTTGGGCAGGGGGCTGGACCCAATGATCTTGTGAGGTCCCTTCCAGCCCTAATGTCTATGAAATCTATGAGAAGATACTTTGTCCATCTGTGGAACTCACACTTCAAGACATTGTATGAGGTTTGTAAATCACGTAATATGCTATTTTCCTATTAATAAACAGTATTATTTTATCTTAATACCATACTCTGATACCACCTCCTACTTGGATTACTCCATATCAGAACAGGTCATTGTGTACCAAAGATAAACTAAAAGTGTGCGAGTTTTCAATTACTAAACCATTTCAACTCTAGTAGAGACGAAGCAATATTCCTATTAATAGCTAAGGGGAAAAAACAGATTATTAGCCATACCAGGTAAATTATTTATCTTCATATCCAACAGAACATGGGCAAATTACCAATGTCCAAAGTTCCTTATTTGAAGTTTGGTAGACAACAGGAAATTATACAACAGGCACCCTTAACATTAAACATTATAATTCAATCCCCTCCATTTGAAGTAGAAAATAAAATAAAACAAAACACTATTTGGTTTTTTAATAGATATCATGGTTAGTTGTCAAAAGTTAAAGAAACATTTTACAGGAGAATTTCTGTCCATACATATTTAGCAGAAGTGTTCTTTCCTAATCTCATACCTATGTATATTGAATGTAAATTGCAAAATCACTAAAATTGTAATTTTCACAGATGCATAATATATGCCCACACACAAAGGGTATATTATATACTGTAAGGCTAAGCATCCATAAATGAACTGCCTTCTTATTTCATGCTAAATATTTAAGGGTAGATAAACTAAAGAAAGTTCACTTTGGTTAATATGTGCCTTACTTTATTTTCTTAAAATCGTTTTGTCTATACCATGATTTTTCCTGTGTCACTGTTTGGTAGAAAAATAGTTCAGATCAGTGCTGCTGTTCACCATTAGTGGCAGCCCTCAGAAAATAATAGTAAATAGATCCCATAGTCATCTGCAAGATCTAATTACACATTAAACGACCCAGCTGATGGGGTCCAGCTGCAGCACATATTTGTAAATGATCAAGAATGAGTGGATATACAAGTTTTGAAAGTTAACATAAAGATGGTAAGAATCTTCTTACTATGTACCCTGTCAAGCCACAATGCATCAAATCACATAACTTTAAGCACATAAGGAATCTAAGAGTAGTCATATAAAAGTCAATAGAACTACCCACCTGGTTAAAATTGAGCATGTGTGTAAGTGCATTTCACAACTGTGGCTTTAGAGAATTGCTACAAACAGTGTTTAGAAATCACATAATCTCCTATTTGGTGCTGCTATGAAATAGATCATACTGATTATTCTTAGGTAAGAATGGAAAAACTTTAAAATATTTAAATTTGTGGCTTAAATATTTCTCTTAAAAGTTGGAATCCTTGTTGATAATCCTTTAATTTAAATTGTTAGTGGTAAAGACAAATTTAACTTTGATGTGCAGAAAAGCATAGATAAAATAAACGGTATGATGGTTCAAATCAGCTCTTTAGAAAGATTCAGGTCATCAAAGTATTTAAGTACCTGCTTAACCTTCATGATTACACTTAAATCAATCTCTATTAAGCAAAGCACTTAAGCATGTATTTAAATCTCACTGAAGAGACTTGAATTAGCATTATTCAAATAGGTCCTTAAAGCAGGTGCTTATGTGCTTTGTGCAATTGGGGTCTTAGAGAAGAGAAATCGAAATGAAACCAACACAGTCTTCTACTAGCTGTATGTTTTCAAAACTGTTGCACAAGGACCCAAAGACAAAGTAAGGACCACAGAAGTAACCAAGATCAGCATGGTGAGAGAGAGGAGAGAATAAAAGCTACATCGTCAACCTGGGAAAAAACAGCTGCATACTTATACTCAGTAAAGTCTTTCAAACCCCAGATTAAAGGGTGGGGACTACGCACCTGACGAAATGAGCTTCAGCTCATTAAAGCTTGTCTTATCTATCTATCTATTTGTCTGTACACACACACTTTGGTAACTCTGTAAGGGGCAAACCTATTGCCTTCTTCTCATTTCTCGTAGGCATTACTGTTAGTCACTTTATTTTATTTGAACACCAGAACAGCAAAGAAGCTATATATTAAGAAAAATCACATATCCTGTAGCCTTCCTAAAGACTTTGATAGTATATTGTAAGGAACAATTTGAGTATTGTTTGTTGACTACCATGAGCTATGTGTCTATGGTACTAAAATGTCATTGCGCCCAAGCATCTCACAGTCTATTGTGGATTTATCTGCACAAAACCTCTGTGAATTTGGGGAGTACTATTGTGCTCATTTCACAGGCAGGAACTGAGGCATAGGGAAACTTGGCCAAGGTCACAAAAAAGTCTGTAGTAGAAAAAGGAATTAAACTTGAGTCTTCCAAGTCCTAGGCTTACAGCAGATACAGTCTGAGAGAAAGATTTATCAGACTGTTAATAATAATAGGAGTAGATTTTCAAAGTATTTGGCCTATATGCAGGTAAATTTCTATAGGAATTAGAAAAGAACTTTAACAATGTAGGTGCACATTTGTATCTTTGCTGTTTAGATATCTCTCTAAATCTATTCTCTAAGGAATAACAGAAAAAGGAAAGCCTGTCTGGTATCAGGAAATGAGAATCTGTATGTCATGGAAAATACTTATCTATATCTTTCTTCTTAGAACGTATGTAAGCCTTCTTCCCTTTCAGGTTAATTCAACTTATTCTATACATTTCTCCAAATTTCTAAATTCTTGTTTGTATCTGCAGAGATTAAATATCTTGAAGACAGGCAGCACTATATTTGGCATCAGGATACATGTTTTAAAAATGCAATTTGACATACTGTGCTGGCAGTATTTCTCATAGCAGATTGTATTATGGTTTCTAAAAGATACTTTTATTTGCCTTCAGTCTTGAGCATTTGGACATTTTATTATTTTTCTTCCAGCATCTTGTGTTTTAAATTCAAAAGGGGGAATATTTTGTAAAGTGAGATCCAATTGCACATGTTACTCGATAAAGAACAAGTTTTGGCAAAAGTTTCTCTGTGCATGGGATAAATTCCATGGCCAAATGGAATCTATTATACAGTCCAAAAAGGGTACATTTCAGTTCCTGATTTAAAGCAAAATGCAAATCCATGTACCCGACATAAAGATGACTTATCTCATTGCCAGGTAATTTTTACGTTCTTGTCCGTCCTTTCAGAAAACTTAAATCACAGAGCTAAGTACAAGTTTGCACACATTTTGTACATTTAAAAATACAGTCACTTTCTTGACAAATTTTATCTGACCAATTCAGGGCCAAGATACAGGAAACGGCTTTGTTTTCATGAGCAGTGCAATGAATCACAAGGTACAATGAAATCTTCAGTCACTGATATTTCTGAGCAGTGTTTAAAAATAACAGCTGTAAAGGCTAGCTTCTTCATAAGGCTCCTCCTGAAACTGAAACAATATTTCTTGTGATCTGCATGTGATATAGGAAGGTAGTTGTCTGGTTTCAAGCTGCAAGATTCGGTACAGCACCAGCTCAGATCATTCATACAGTGTGGTTTGAAAGCTATATGCCTACTGCTTTAAACATTTTGGTCACATCTAAGGCTATATACAGAGTGTAACTAAAATGGTATCAGTATTCTCAGACTACTGTCACCTGAATTTTTAAAATTTGCAGACTTCTTAAGTGAAACTTAAAGGATTCACAGCAGCCCAAAGGGAAGCTAATTACCTTGCCCAGTTGTCACAAGGAGCTAATTAGAAACAATTGCTATGAAAGACTTCAGTCAGGCAGATGGGGGCAGCAGGTGGACAGATTTCAGAGAAGCTGTAGAAGCAGGAAGGTAAAGGAGTTAGAGTGATGTTGTAGCCATGATGATCCAGGAATTAGGTGAGGGGGAAAGATTTTTGGGGGTGATATCTTTTATTGCACCAACTGCATGGTTGGGATAAAGTTAAACAAGCTTGTGAATGCAAGGCATCTGTCCTTGGGTGACCTGAGGAGGAATACCTTACATTTAAAAGTTTGCCTAACTTTATCTTAACTGTGCAGTTGATCCAATAAAAGACAGCACCCAGAAAATCCTTGCCTCTTGTACAGTGTGGAGGAGAAAGATAGTCAAGCAGGGAGGGTAGGAAGCAGTCTGGGATAGCGGTGAAGGAATGTTTCTCTGATTAGCAGAGGGCCCTGGGCAGGAACCCGGAGGGGTGTTTGGGCCTGAAATTCCCCTCCCTGCTCTGCAGGGAAAGAAATCCCTCTGGAGGTGGAGGCCAAGGATTAGTGAGTTTCAGATGGGGAAGAGATGGAGGCACCGATAGCATCCTTTTGACAGAATCCCATTTCTCCATCAGAAAACAGGATTGAAATAGGGTTTTTGATAAAAAGAAAGTTTCAGTTCGTTTTCATCTTTCTTCCTTACTTCCACTTTTTCCATCTTCCTCCTGTAGTAATCAGGCTCTTCCCTCTCAGACAGGTCTCTAACTCCATTTTGCAGTCTGAACTCTGCTCTCAGCTACACCAATGAAAATGAAAGGGAATATCAGCAAAATCAAGTTACCATCTGAATACTTCAGAGCAGAATTTGGTGTTCCGTGTCTATAGGAGACTTTTTAGTTGAATAGCTTTTATGGCAAGTCTTGTGTTTTTGCTGATATGTAGTAAAACATT